GAATAAATCAGCATTGCTGTCAGTTGGAACGGTTAGTACGCAAATTTAGCAGCCGAGCTTTGGAGGAAAGCTTTCAACAAATATTAAACGATTAGAACTCGCTGCAGTGTTCTCTCCTTGTAATGTTTTTTGGAGTAATAAAAATTTGAAAATTCTATTTTTACGGTTATTTAGCAGAGTGTGCATACTCGACATTGAATCAGGAATCACGCATCTAAACAAATTATTGCTGTGTGGGTAGTATGAAAATACCGTCATCTCTAGGTAAAACAAATAATCTTGCTATCATACTATCATTTTGACCTTTACTGGTTGTGATACTTTTACTACAGTCTCCAAACTTCACAGGTTTAGGAAGCAGTTATTTCTTTTTGATTTCAGCAAATTAATTAGTATCATCGGTTACTTGTAAGACGTGGGCTGGAAAATTTAGCAGTATTAAGGTTTCGCAATATGTTTAGTATATGAAATAGAGAAACGGTAAAAAAAACCAACAAAGATTGGTAAGAGTAATGTGGTAATAAAAATTTTTACTACGGTCTGGAAAGCTCAAAAAAAATTAGAAATTGCGATAAACAACTGAAAAAAAACGAGTGAAAGTATCGTGAGTTCCAAAGCTTCTAAAATTTAGTTTTTCTGCAGCGATCTATTTTTTGCCTATTTTAAGATAACTTTTATGCTTTTTTATGTGTCTTTGTCGGTGCCTCATTCGTTGTCAAAACGATTCCTTTTTGTTAAGGTTTTGGCTAAATAAGGTTGGTATTTTTTGACTTTGGAAACATTACTTCAGGAAAAGTGAAAACGGAGAAGCTAAACACCTGTATTGAGTAAGGATTTGTTTAACTGTATTTGTTTGAAGAAGCAAAAAGAGGTATAGTGGCATTAAGTGAAAAAAGAAACAGGTTTTTCTCTGGAACTTTACCTTAAACTCATTCAACTTGACTCACTTGTGTAATTAATCTGTGGCTTAAAAGTGTGCCGAAAAACACCAAAAGATTATTATTGAGCTGAATGTGCGAAACAAGCCGCTTGTAGACTCATGCTACATTGATTGCTTTGAAGAGAAGTATGAGGAGGTTAAGAGCAGGTAAAACAAAGTTTTTTAACTTAACATTCTAGACAGTAGAAAGGTGATCGCTTATTAAAATAAAGAGAAGATGACAGTTAAATCAATAAAGTTTTTTACAAGTTTTTTTTACTTGTATATATACAGCAGAAGTATCAAGTAATCTAGCGAGTGCATAGCAGAATTTGAAGAGATTAAATCAGGCAGCAAAAATGCTGCACAGTACGAAGTCAACGTGCAACATTACTGTTGATTGATTCCTCTAACAGTGTACCAAATTTTTAGATGTCTTGTACCTTTTCCTTGCGTAAAAGTTCACTCTTTTTTGTTTGCTCTAACTTGCCATACTGTCTCAGCAACTTTAAAATACTCTATCATTTTGACATCTGTGATATTTTAGTACTGCAATCGCAGATGATTGCAAAAAAAAAAAA